CAGACTTTGGTTTATCAAGAAAAATTACAGAAACGTCAAGTAATTCATCAAAAATATTTGGTATCATACCTTATGTGAACCCAAAACGTTTAAAGGATAGTTGTTACAAATCAAATAAAATGTCTGATGTCTATAGCATTGGAGTACTTTTATGGCAAATTTCAAATGGATATAAACCATATTATGGCTTAGATTATGATGTGAGTTTATCCTTATATATCATAGGTGGAAAAAGAGAGAAAATAATTGACGGCACTCCAATGAATACTTTATTCTATATCAAAGTAAGTAATGTTAATAATATAATTTTATAAAATTTTTTTTCTTTCGATACTAATTTACTTATATTAGAATGTTGGAAAAATGAACCAAATGAACGTCCAAATATACAGGAAGTTGTTTCATCTCTTGAAGCAATAATTTCTCTCAAACAAAGTAACACACGTATTGACAATATTAATGAAAATGAATGTCATAATAGTAAATCTAAATTAAGCAAGGGAACTTCAAATTATGATTCCAATATTTATAAATTAGATATTACTAATATTAAACAAGAATATGTACAGTTGGATGATGATAATGTAACTGACGTAAAGAGAATTGCTTCAGAACTGATGATGATAACGTAGAACTTATTGAACCAAATTTTAATACGAAATCGTCAATCCGCCATTTGAAAGTTTTTTACCACTTATAACAGAAGTAGCCAAGGTTTTCAACGAAATCGTAGAATTATATCAAGCAGCTGAACATAATAAAAAAATATGTGGGATTTTGTTGGATAGAGTCCATGTTGCTGATACAGCCGTAAGAAATTTTAAAAAACCGTAGAGTTGAAAATGTATTATTCTTTTCAGCAAGAAACTTATATAATTTACAAACTAGATTCATGGTCATGGCCGGCCAGGGGCCGGCCTTAATATTTTATTTAATTTAATTTGGTTTGATAATAGCGCGCGAAGTTTTTTTAATTTTGATTTTGATTTTTAATTTTTATTTTTTTAATGCTTAATTTTTTTATCATCGTGATTTTTTTTTGATTTGATTTTAGGTTTCGTTATTTCTTTTTTTTTTATTATAGGTTAGATCGGTTCCCTCTCTTAGGCCAAGAACAGGACGGAATTTTCAAATGGATCCCGTCCGGTTCGTCACCGGCAAAGGTAAAGCTGACTAATTTTTTGTGATTTATTTTTTTTCTTTGATAATTAGTTCTGATTAATTTTATTTATTTGTTTATTTTTTTTTTTTCTTAAACGGTTTTAGGTTAGATCAGACCGGATTTCTGAAGAATTTTTGATCGGTGGCGAAAACAGGGACTAAAATTATTTATTTAATGCATTCTTTTATTTTATTATTCCCACTATTATTTTTTGGGAACGGTCATAAAATGGAATCACCTGACACCAAAAAAAAATAATAGTGATCACAAAATTTGGTAAGTGAATCATTGTATTTGTCACTTATTATATTTTTGATAGATTGAAGGTATACAGTTTTTATTTTACAAATTGCAGATAAATAGATAATTATAATACAATATATAAAACCTGCGGAATATAAGTATACAAAATATACAAATTTACTTAAGATTCCGAATGTAAATTCCCAGGGCTCCGGCAAATTTTTCTCCCTCAGTTTTTCGATCCTTTAATTTGAATCCAAGGAAAAAAGTCTCAATAGCATCCTATGCTCGACAAATCATAAGCATCCCCGAATAAATCAACCCACAATGTATTATACCCGGTAAAGATGCCTAGAAATAACAAGAGAAATGCCACTGAAAAACCACACGTGGAAAACCAAACATGTAACCACCCTTTCCCAGACATGATTAAATCACTTTCTCCTTTATTATGCCAAAGATAGGCCAAAGTACTGTTAAATGACCAGATGGAGGTGATTACTGTTACATATTTGCTGCGACAAAAATATCCAACCGGGGGTGTAAAGTAGACGATAAGTACTGTCACCCAAGGATAAACTATTGATAATAAAGCAGTTATCGTAACGGTTGCACGTTTTATTAAATTTAAGTTTATCTTTAGGATTGTTATCCACAATAACTTGTATCTTCTCAAAAACCTCGCTAGGATATTTGACTATTAGAATCCTATAAAATCCTCTTTTCCAAATTGCTGGAATTGTCCAAGACAATAATAATGGTAAATATGCCCAACCTTCACAAACTATTTCTCCTTGAACTCTGCCGCTAAACTGACCATTATGTAATATGTTGAAACCAATGAAGATAATCTTTCTAGCACGGATGCTTTTGCCGTACATCATTTCACATACTCCTTTATATGCTTATTTTTCTCTATATTTAGTTTCATTGCATGAAATCCAAAAGGTCTGCATTTTGGATGATGATCTGTTCCTTTTGTGACTTCTTTGTCGTTTTGTTTCTTCTTCGTTATTTGTGTGCTCCACGACTGTAAAGTTATATTCTGAAAGCCATTATATGCAGCGGTAGGGATGGTAACGGTCGGTCTTGGTCGGTCACCGGTCGGTCAATGGTCGGTCGAAGGCCTTTGACCGACCGACCGGTTCACTGACTGATTTTAACTGACTGGTTGACCGAATGGTTAATAGTAATATAATTGAGCAGTGTTGGCTTAATAGAAAGTTTTTATTTAGCCAAATGCTTTAACTATACTAGCATGACATTTTTTTTAAACTACTTTGTCATTTTTATATAGTGGCACAGCATTATCACGGACTTTATTTTTTTTCAAAATTTTAAAATATTAATTTATAGATAATTAAAATAAAATGTTGATGTTTTTACTATTTAAAACATGGTTGTTCAGTCTCAAGTCAGTCGGTCAAGATCTGGATTATTATCCGATACATCACTGATCACCTCAACCTCCAAGTTTCACTCCACAAAATCAAAGCACACGCTGGAAATTATTACAACGAAATAGCGGATAGATTAGCTAAAGATGGATGCAATACACCTCCTCTATCCTTGCTACTTAATAATGTCTCCTCATCAGATCTCTCATTTTGCTTTAATAATATTCCTATTGAGGTCTCTATTAGAGG